CTAGTCTCTTGGCCACATGAATCGGATGAGGAACTTGCCATCACCAAGAAAATTTTAGAATACATGCATTTAAGTTTGTTGTGCTGTTCCCTGATTTACTTTTTAGTGTACATGGTCCTAACTGTAGCTAGCAACAAATCTGAACGAAGGTCATAGCAGATGAAACTCACATTTTCCACCAAATTATATAGATGGAGTTATAAATTCCTGATGGGGGGGGGAATCAGCAAAATAAACACCAAACATAGGTATGCTCCCCCCTCCCAGAACAGTCAACTGCCAAAACAATGTAAACATTTAAAATATCTGATTTTGTGCATATTAAAAAATGCACTCTTGGGACTGGAGAGACGGCTCAGCAGTTAACAGAGCACTTCCACCTCCTGCTCTTTCCAAAGACCAGCTCATCAGTTCCCAGCACTCACGTTAGGCAGATCACAAGCACTTATAACTCCAGTTCCAGGGCACCAAACGCCCTCTTCTGGCCTCCATGGGCATCCTCACATGTGGCATACACTCACACACACACATGCAGATAGAAAATGATTTAAAAATGCAGTCTTATTTTTACAGTGTTATATTATTTATAATATCATTTCCAAAGAGACAGTTGTATATTTTTAGCACCTTTGCAGAACTACATTAACAATAATTTGGGCAAGAACTTCAACAACAAACCAATACTAAGACCCATCTGACTGACTTTCCTCTCTACCAAAATATTATAACTCAATTTTATAATAATTCCCACAATACAGGGTCTTTCCCTTCAGCTCCTCTGGCTAGCTGCAGGTGCCCTAAAGCAGAGATGGGGGTTACCATGATATGATATAAATGTATTTTTCAATGCTTATGATTATCAAAAATTAATCTTTGGACTATTTTATTAGCCATTTCTTTAAAGACAAAAAGCTGAATATATCCAGTTTTATATGAACATGTCATCTAAACTATTCAGCAATTTCTGTAACTTAGAGTAAATATGAATTAAACACACAAAGCATACACATACTGAATTAAAATGTCCCAAATCTAGAATGCTTAAGAAAAATATTTTTCTCATTAAAAAAAATTTGGGTATGAAACAATATATAACACCCATCTGTAACTGTAACACCATGGGTGTAAATATACTCATTTATTCTCTATCAAGCAGCACTTAAAACAATTATCTGAAAGCATCAGCATATTTTTAAGAGAAGCTACTTCAATCTTTAGACAAGTCAAATTATTCAGTAATAAAAAAATCAATTTTGTTATAAAGTAAAAAATACGAAGACTGCCTTGTTCTTTGGCTTTAGAACTCCGTTTTCATTTGACCACTTTTCTGACCTTTCAGAGGACCTTAACGGGACACAGTATCTTACCTTAGCTAAGCTGGCAAGTGGATGTCCTCTTCATCTACAACTGTGTGCCAGAACAGGCAGGCAGGCAGGCAGGCGTGCAAGAGCAGCCTGTAGGGCCCTGAAAAGAGGTAACACTGACTCAAAGCTAGCTGTGCACGGTACCGACCCCATGAGTGACAATGGAGACTCCCGTCTGTGTCCTTCGGTAGGTGCACCCTGAAGAACATCCCCTCCCTGTCTCTTACAGTCCCCTGGCTTCCTTCTCATCACACAGCCTCACCTCACTTCAGCTCATAAAGAAGAACGCTGCCCTTGGGCAACACCTCGTTTGGTATGAGCTGATTTTCTTTATGCTGAAATCGACGTTTTGTATGGTTTTTAATACCTGGTTGTCTGGAAAGCAAGGGGAAACACAGAACTACCAAAATCAGATTTTCAGCAAAAGCAAGAATGACTTAAAGTGCCAGGCTGCAGCTTTTTCATAGAGATCGTTGAGTATGGATCCAGGGGCCAGTGAGAGGGCTCAGTGGGTAAAGGTACTTTCTGTGAAACCCTGATGACAAGAGACAGGTCTCTGAAGGGAGGATCCTTCGGCCGCCCCTCCCCCAACTCAGAAACCCCAGGAAGGTGAGAAGGCTCAGCAGGTCAAGGCACTTCCGTCAGTCTCAGGGGACCACTGGTAGAAGAGAACACAGTCCTGCCCAAGCTGCCCTTCGATCTCCTCCCATGTGCCATGACATGCGCACAAGCACTCCCCTTCCCAATCAGGATGAGATGTACTAAGAGAATGACAGGGGAGACTTGACCAAAGTCAGGGTTGAATTTGGGGCAATGGTTTAAGTTACACACCACATAATATTTAACACATTAAAATAGTGAATAATGTAAATACGTCGGTAATGTTCATTTTGGAATGAAAAGTTAAGTATACCACCTTCTAACCAGAGGAGAAGAAGGCATTTTTTGGAAGCAAAACTAGCTAACAGCACTTTCCATGCAGACAAAAGATCAGTAACTAGTACCACACTGTTCACAAAACTTCCTGATGGAAGACCAGATGGCCTCATCCGAGTTCCCTGGTGAGAAAGGCACTGCAACACAGTGAGGCGCGCGCGCACGCATCTGAGGGCGTCTGAAAGCTGACTTACCACATAGTAACCGTGGGGACTCTGCAACACACACACGGGAGGTGAGGATGGTGACTGTCCCTACCACACAGCTCTTGTGGGATGAAATGTGATAATGCACACAAACACGCTAATATCGTGACTGCTTTAGAATAAGCCCCTCAATAAACATTGGCTATTATTGTCATCATTATTGTATGGGTGAAGAAACAGACTAAAAAGATTAAGTTCAAAGATTACTAACAGGCAAAGTTAGAAGTAGAATTTTCATTTAAATATATTCCTATTACCCTGTATTACCTATATGGATATCTCCTTTTAATTCTTTTTATGCTATGAAGGTTTTGTGGATGAAGCTATCATTTGAAAGATTCAATGGCATAGACGGCACTCTTGACTTAAAATTTTTCTTTTCAGTAGGAAAGAAATTGAGGCAAGCATTAACAGGATGTGGTCTTAGTCAGGGCATGGTGGTGCTCCTCTGTAATCCTAGCATTTGAGAGGCCCAGGCAGGAAGATCAAAGACTTGGAGCCTGGCGTGGGATACAGGGTGAGATGAAGGCCAGCCTGAGACCCACTTGAAAAATAAACAAATGCATTACCAAGTCAACGAAGCAGATAAACAAAAGGAACCAGACTCTTTGCAGAATCAGGGTGGAGACTAATCTACGTTTACAAGAAGTTAACATTGACCTTAAAAACTTACAAAAAAAGAAAGAGAAAGGAAGGAAGGAAGGAAGGAAGGAAGGAAGGAAGGAAGGAAGGAAGGAAGGAAGGAAAGAAGGAAGGATAGACCAAGGGCAGAAGCTCAGAAGGCAGTGCCGTTGGCTGCAGGACTATGTACGGTACAACCCAGACCAAAGCTCCCCAAGTCTAAAGCATCCTCCACAGGACTTGACTCACTCTGTACCTTGTGCTAACCATAATAACGTACTGTAAAGTCATTATGCAGAAAACAGGGAATTGACTTGAACGGTTCCAGAGTTAAGAAATAAAAGACTAAATAAGGCCTTCAATAGCTTTATTGAAATCTGTATAAATAAACATGCACATTTCAAATGTAAACTCAAGTGAACCCAAGTGCTGACAAAATATTAACCTCTGTCATGCAGGAGGTTAGTTTACATAAAAAAAAAAAAGGAAAAAAAGAAAAAAAAAAAAAAAAAAAAAAAAAAAAAAAAAAAAAAAAAAGGAAGAAAAGAAACAAAACAAAACAGCCAAAGCAGCTTTTAAAAGACCAGGATGAAAAACCAGCTTTAATATCAAGATATAAAGCAAAGCCATGATCAACATACCTTACTTATCCTGGTCAAATGCAATTTTTTCCTTTTTCTTTTAAAATGCTAACATAAATAAATAATTTACCAAAATGTGCACTCACAGAGTGAACTTTTATTTACAATACACAATTTATATCTATTGTATTTGATTAGTTCAAGTGAAGAACATTATACTTTTTGCTTTAATAACAGTGGGACACAAAGCGATTTCTCAGGTAGTCATATGTGAAATGTGCCCCAGCATTTCCTTTCCTATTAAAGGCAGTATTGTAGGCCAATCAATGATACATTCCTTCAACTGGATCATAGGGAAAGAAAGCAGCCAATGGAAATGTCTCAAATGTTCACACGTGTATTTGGCATCCTGGATCCTTGAATGTGAGAAACTGAAATGAAACCAAAGTTCGTACGCTTCCTATGCTGCACAGGTCTGACTGGGAACATGCAAATACCACCTCTCTTAGACAAGTTACCTTCTGAGAAAAGCTGTAAGGCTATGGTGAATTCCGCCGTCAGGAACACACAGAGAAGTTAACAGACCTACCTCTATAGCCAAGTTATCAGTGAGTTAAAGGCTAGTACATGAACAAAAATCCTCTCACCTAAGTCTGATGCAATTGTTACTACAGATACAGAGTATTATTCAGCCTGTCCTTACATTACAGTAATTGGGAGAGCTAAAAAGTTGCTACATTACCAAAAATGGGGTAAAGAACCATAGACAGCAAAAAATTTGAATTTTGGACCAACAGTGGATTAATGATAAACATTTTAAACCAAAACAAATTTGAAAATTTAAAGAACAGATTCCAATTGTAGTGGAAAATACTTACATGTAGCTGAAAAGTGACTTTTGATGGAGTATGGAATCTAGAACCTGTTCCCATGGTGAGTGAGGTAAATGTCATGTTTTGCATTTTAATGATACAACAAAAGGAAAATTTTCCAAGGTTATTTCTCATGGTATGATGGAATTTTTTTCTGTGAACAGGCCCACATTGATCCCCAGGGAGATTTGAAGACTGGCGTTCCAAGGACGCACTGCAGCGTCTGCACCACACGGATGCTGCGGGGCGTGCCGGAGTGGTGGACACACACGAACTAGATTTCCCAAGAGCTGAGCGCAGCCACAGCTTTCCTGCAGTGTTATTAGAGCAAAATCAATGACCAACATCCACAAGTTTACATCTGTCATCAATTAGTCACATCCAAAAAATTAAAGAAAACATAATTCGTCAAAACAGCAGCAAACTTAAAAGGGATTTATTTGTGATTTCCTATATATATTTAGCTTGTAAATACAAGACTGTAAATGTATTAAGAGACAATTTCTGTTAAAGTTTTCATTGTGTTTCACTTCAAGTACTGCACAAGTTAAAATCTGATCAAGGATTTACATTCGGTTATCTGAGACTCCTCATCTCAGACGTGGGCTTTAATGTGGTGGAGAATCCACTGCCATGGCCACCACCAGCAGGAAGGTCTCTCTATGGCTCCTGGGCTGGCGTTAGTTAGTGTGCATACAGTTTTCATTCTCTAGGTCATTGTCATTGTCATTGCTGTCGTCTTCGTCGTCACTTTCCAGGGGGACGCCCGTGGCGGCTGAAGCACCTTTCGTCTCTCGGTCCAGAGGGAAGAAGCCCGTCCCACGGAAAGTGTCCTGTCTCTGGTAGAAGAGGACGTACGCTGCTTTGGACTGCCAAACAAGCACAGATGTCAGCACCCAGAGACCATACTTGACACAGCACGCACGGGGTGTTAGCTAATAAGCAATGTTAGTGACAAAAAAACAACAGAAAAACTACATACGACCACATGGAAGCTTATACAATTGGCTAAGTATAGTTGTTTCTATATTTAAAAAGAAGTATTTTCATTCTGTATAATTTGGACCAAGAGTTATATATAGCCCAAACACAAATTCACTTCCTGTAATATAAAATACAATTCTGTTTTTCTTCCTTTGAACTTTAAGGTGAATGTTTTTGTATCCAACACTGAGTGTCTCAGCTCAGGCTTGACCTCCAGTGCAACGTCCTCTACTACACCAACAACATTTCCCTGATAAAAAGACATGACAGCACAGGAGGAAGATTGAGGAATAGAAAGGGGAAGAGTGGACGGAGGAGGGACAAGAAGGGGGGGGGGGGAGCCCGACTGAAGCACAGCACGCACACATGACAACGTCATCAAGAAACCCAGTCTTGGTACAATTAACACGTGCTGGTGAAAATCCCTCCCCACCCTGTTTTGAGACACAATTTACTTGTTTAGCCCTGGCTGTCCTGGAATTAGTTCTGTACACCAGGCTAGCCTTGAACTCTGCTTCCCAAGTACTAGGACTAGAGGTGTGCAGCCACTACTCCCAGCTTAAAAATTTTTTTTTTAAAAAGAATATTTTTCCATCAATTATAACAGTAGATTTTAAAATTTATTTTTAAATATTTTAGTTTGTATTAGGTTTAGTCTGCATGTATGTCTAAGCAACACTTAGAAGCTCAATGCCTGGAGAGCCAGAAGAGGGCACTGGATCCCCTGGAACTGGAGTTACAGACTTGTGAGCTACCATTTGTGTGCTCTGGGAATCGAACCCAGGGTCCCCTGGAAGAGTAGCCAGTGCTCTTAACCACTGAGCTGTGGCTCTTGTATCATTAAAAAAAAAAAAAAAAAAAAGATAGCCCAGGCTGCCAAAAATGAACATATGAGTCTATAGGAAATGAAACCATTTCTGCAGAACAAAGGAAACTATCAGCCAAGTAAACCGACAGCCTACAGATTGAGAGAAAAATCTTTGCTAGCTCTGTCTCTGACAGGCTTGAAATCTAGATAAATATATAAAGAACTACAAAAATTAAACACCCCAAAATCAAAAATGCCAATCAATAAATGGGCCAAATTCAAAATAAACAGTTCTTAAAAGAAGAAACTCAAATAGCCAATAAACAGCTTTAAAAATATGAACCATGTTTAGCCACAAGAAAAGGCAAATTCAGAGTATCCATCCATCCATCTCACCAGTCAGCATCAAGAAACTGCTGGTGTGCTGTTGAGGATGTAGGGAAAGTGGACTTTTATTAACTGCTGGGACAGCATAAACCAGCACGGCCCTTTACGGAAATCAGTATGGGTTCTCAAAAAATTAAAATGAGAACTATCATATGACCCATCTATACCACTGCTGGGAATGTCTCAAGGGACCACAGATCCGATCAGAGATACTTGCACATCCAGATTGACTGCTGCGGTATTCACAGCAACAGGGAACCAGAAACAGCCTGTATGTTCATTAACAGATGACTGGATCGTGAAAATGAGGTATATACACACAATGGGATTTTATTCAGCAGATGTATACATTTTGTATACAGAATGAATACATTTTCAGGAAAATAAATGATTTAGAAAATATAGTAAGTGTGATAACTTAGACTCAAAAAGGTAAAAATCATGTTTTCTCAGAAGCAGACCCAAACTTTTTAATGTTTTATGTATGTACGTGTGTATTTAATATCTTATGTATGCATGTATTTGTTCGTATGTATGTAAGTGAGTGTGAGAGTGGGTGGAGGCAATGAAACCATGTAACAAACCATGTGAAAGGAACACGAAGCTCTGAGGAAAAGGGATGGGCCAAAGACCACATATGACGCGGAAGTGGAAAGGAGGCTATGGGGGTTGAGGGGGACAAGGGAAATCATGGGGAGGAAAAGAAATCAACAAAAATTTGCTTGAAAATATCACAATGAAACCTAATATTCTGTGAGCTAACGACACAACGAAAGGAGTCCAGGCTGACCTGGAACGTGCACCACAGCACAGGACGGTCTGGAACCTGTGATCTACCTGCCTGAATCTCTGAAATGCTAACATCACAGACATGTGCCACCATACCAGACAGCTCTCTCTGGCTTAAAAAACATTTAAGTTTTGTCTGCATCAAAAACTGCTACCAAGAGAACTTCCACCCTCCACTGTACACCCCTCTCCCTCTCCACTGGGCCCACAGAGTGTGGCCACCACCTCCTCAACAGTCCTCAGCTCTGTCACCCCATCTGTCCACGGCATTCTAATGGAACCACTTTCCATGGGGCCGACAGCATCTCAGTCAATGGCGGCCTTTTATAGTAACACTGGCCCATCTCTCAGGAGCATTAACACCTCAGAGTCTTCTCTCCAGTGATTTTGGTCTTCGGTGACACTGCTTCTCCTTAGGTCTACTCTCTTCAGGTTCCCTTCCTAAATTGTTTAAGACACATGTTCTGCCCGAGCAATCTTCTATATACTGAAATCGGAATGAGTGCCTTTAGCTACAGCAACTGCTGGAGTGTAGAATAGTGTTCCAAGGGCTCTTTTTCTTTTCTATTTTTGAGACAGGGTCTTTCTGTGTAGCCCTGGCTGTCCCAGAACTCCCTCTGTAGACCAGGCTGGTCTCAAAAGGCATGTACCACCATGCCTGACTCTCCAAAGGCCCTGCAACATGAGCTCATGTCCTGCTCCACGTTTTCCCTTCTGTTAAGTTTTTGTTACTCCCTAGGAGGCTGACCCATGACCTCAAACACTGAAGACATACTTACCACAATTTGTTCTTCGGATGCAGTGGAGACACTGCTGTCATCGAAATAGTACCATTTTCCATCATCTTTATTTTTTGCAAAAGCAGTATCTAGCGAAAAAATAGAATTACTCCTATGACTGGAATATCTATGGCTTTGGGTGGATTCCTCAAAACTCTATGATCACCTATAAAAATATCTGCTAAATGACACGAGTATCATCTGTATCAGGCCTAGTATACATTTACTTGATTTGACAAAGGCTTTTAGAATAATTTCTAGCAATTTAAATGCCTAAGAAACATTTTTTCTAAGCTGAAACTTGTGACTTTTTTCAGATGGGAAAATAGCTTTTTTTTTAATTCACAGAAAAAAAAAACCCTAATGATAATTACCATTTATATAGTGATTATATGACTAGACACAGTGCTATGCATTGTATCCACATTAAGATATTATCATTATTCTTCTCATTGTAAAGCTATAAAACTAACGCTTCTAAAAGAATCTTTTGTTAAAGGGGTGCTGCTGTTATGTAGCAGAGTTAGGACTTAAATTCAGGACTGCCTACATCCAGAATTTCTATTATTTATTTAAGTTTCCTATGACATTTTCTTTTCTGATAACTCTACTTAATCTGTAGTTTTTACACACTAGAGTTCTTTCTGTCTTTAACACACTATAGAATAAAAGAAAGATTAAAAAAATGGTACTTCTTTATTCCTTCCATGCTCTGTATAAACTACTACCTTAAAACTCCCGTGCGCTAACAGAACACTTCCCAACAGTTATTCACACACCCTGGCTAATCACCTTTAACGAGGAGCTGAAAACAGCGTGACCTCAATAGCTTCCTTTGCACATCCCCTCAGACACTTTCCCCCTCCTTCCAACAACTAGGATTCACTACTAAACAGCTGTGATGTCTTTTGCTCTGTACTCTATCTAGGATCCACCCCTCAACAGTACCATGTCTTTTGCTCTGTACTCCTTCATGAATCTGCATGAACTCAGCTCAGGGAAGTCTACTGCATGCGGTGAGTCTGCTAGCCTGAACTTAAGGGAACTACAGAGTAGTTGGATACTTACAGAAGAAACATTCTCAGTCCTAAAGAAAATATGTAACCTATGAGACTGAATAAATAATAAACTAATAAAAGCCTTTCAAGATATTAGCAAGATACACCTTTGGGGAGGATTATTCAAAAAGTAATATTGAGAAAAGAATAATAACCCCAATAAAAATATAGCCTAAAAGTAACTATAAATAGCCTCAAATAAATTGGAATTTGGGTGAAATGAATATACTTTTACAGAAGCAAAAAAATGTTCAAAATATATATGTAAGAAAAAGAAAACTGATAGTCCAATAATGAAATAAATAAAAAATTTTATGAGGTAAAGCCCATAGTTTTACAGAGAATTCTAGTGTACCTGTTGGATAGTTACTCCCCATATTATTCTGATGATTTCAGGAAATAAAAAAATTAATCTAGTTTATTTAATGACCATAAATTTGATTACAAAGTGAAATAATAATAAAAACTCACTTATGAATGAAAGTGTTAGCAATCTTAATCAGTTAATGAAATCAACTCTGCATTACATGTGACAAAAGGACATGTCACAGGAATGGAAATCCATCAGGTGAGAGTGTCAACTGTTACAGTCAACCTGAACTACAACCTGGCACACAGTTTTGTCAAGAAGGTCACTTCAAAGGAAACCGTAGATAGCAGACCATAATCAATGATACTTTTCAGTCTTAGATTAGTAGAAAGTTAGGTGTTAATTTAAGTGAAAAGATACAGTGCAATAAATCTAAATCACCAGTGGTAAAAGCAACAGATTAAATAGACATGAACTAACATGATTAAGTCTAAAGTCTCAAGAGGAAGAGTTACTAAGATCAATAGTTAGTACCTATTGCCCAAGTTAACAAATTTGCACAGTTTAAAAGGACACAGCACATTATAAGGAAAGAGAATGAAGAATGGGGTCGGGGGGTAAGCGCCCTGAACAGACAAGATGCTTCTTCCTGGGCCTTCAGCTGAGAAGGGGGATTAACTAATTCCTTTAGAACTGGGTTTTAAAATAAAAGTTATACAGCTGATTCACTGATTCATTCATTTATAAATACTGAACAACGATTACATGCAAGATACATCTGACATTTTATTTACTTTAAAAAGTATTAACTATCTTACAGGAAAAAGTCTACAGATTTGGAAAAAGGTTAAAAGGTAAACTATCAACTTACAATGACCACCTCCCATCCCTCCATAGTGGTTGGAAACAGCAATCAAATTATAGCGGCAAGGGCCTGCGTTTGGATTAATTAGGAATTCTGACATATCCAAGTCACTGTTAAAAAGGAAATCAGATAAGTTATGCTTTCTTTAAAAGTGATGAAATATTTTTCTTTTAAAGCAATAAATTCTAGCGCCTTCTGTTAGTACTGACTCATATATATGCATACACACATAATCATTAATACAAACACACACACACACACACACACACACACACACACACCCCTCATACAGGAATTACCCAGAGATAACCTATTAAACAAATTATACATGTATCCCTGAGATTTGAGTGTTTGGGAAATCCTTGTTTAGGGGTTGATAATTGGACACTGATTGCTATTCTGATTAATGCTTTCATGCTATCACATTTAACTTACAGTGTGCCAGGGAAAAAATTAAAAGGAAAAGTGAAAAGCAACTTCCTTATCAACACTCAAGAACTAAAATCTTGGAGAATCTACTGCTGGCACTTTCCTAAACAAGCAGCGTCTCTCCCTGTGCTCTAGGTGTGGCTCCCACCGTCACTAAAGAAGCACCTTATGCTGCAGAGGGAGATCATCTCCAGCCACACCTGGTTCAAACTCAGAGACCAATGGACTGCGGAGGTGCTTGTTTCCAGTGAATATAGTTACAACAAAACTGTGAAATAGCAATCCTAACAAATTATTACAATTGCTCAAAACTTCAAGGTTTAAACTGATCCAATTATACGTGACATTTACTAAGGTAAGATAAGAATATCATCACATCATTTGAAAAAAGAAGGTCCTATGCTTAACTGAATACAGTTGAAACTTACTTGATGGGAAAATCAACTAAAGTATCTAACTTGTCTCTCATGTATCGACTATAAGAAAACCGCTTGAGATGCACCACAAGTACTGGAGGCAGGGACCATAAATCTAATTTCTTTGTGGCTTGCTGATGTTCTTTACAATTTGGACAATACCTATAAAGAAGAAGAAAATAAAGCTTGACAGAGGCACAAAACAAATGATTTGTATTAATGGAAACTACAAAATCAAAAATCAATGTCTACTAAGTTCTACATTTTATCAGTGAGCAATTACCGTACACTTAATATATGTGAACATGAAAGCAATTCCGCATTCTTATCTCCTACATCTTTCAGATAAGCTTAACCATTACAAATATATAAATATTCAAAGAAATGATGAAAGTGGTTATTAGAGAAAGGACAGTCCTGAGAGGAAAAGCCACCACTGTACTACTTTAAAAAAGCTGATAGCATCCTCTTTAGACTGGAACTTACTATATAAAGACCTTACTGAACTATCAAGGAAACTCAGTCAAGACTTTGCCAACATGATCGGAGTAAACTCCTCAAGAAAAGGCACACAACCATTCAGTGTCTTCTCTTACCAGGGGTCTTCAGCACCGAGTTTTTCTTTTGTTGTAAAAAGCTCAATGCAGTCTTTCAATTTCACAAAGGGTTTTTTTGGAGGTTTATATTCCACACTTTCATGTTTTTCAAAATCCTAAAGAGAAGTATTTCTTGAGTTAAGAGAACAAGTTAAACAAAACTCATCTTAGTGACACATCTTAAGCATCCTGAAAACTCAGACTGTAGAAGCCTCAGCAGAAATGTCTAGAACACCTTGTGAAAGAACCTCTGTGGTTGAATCAGCACACAGAAAGCATGTTCAAAACCAACTCTTTCCGTGAAAAGTAAAAAGGGCCACCATCTTTTTTTGCTAACTGTTCAAATAACCCACTTGTAGAATCAAGGGGGAGGAGTGTGACAACTCAGTCACATAGAGAGCACACAGCAAAGCCAAGAGGCAGGGAGGGGCTCACCTCAGCGGCATTCTCATCGAAGTACCTCCTTTTCAAATCAGGATCCCAGTCCAAAGCCAGGAAAGACCTTTCTAAGGTAGAAAAAATATTCTTTCCTTAAAAATGTTGTAAGCTTTAGTGTTAAAATAAATATATCTTAATGCCAACATATACACCAGAAAAAACCAGCAATCTCTTTCCACCAGGGTTTTCTACTTGCACTAGGTGATCAGGGCAACACTGAGAGCTGTTTCCAAGTCACTGAAATAACCCAAGAGTTAAAGAATAATGCAAAGTGTAAGCATAATAAACTAACCTCATTGTAGTCAAGATTATCACTTACTACAGGAAGACATTAAGGCTTAGATTCCTTAGAGATAAGTAACTGTATTTTTGATGACAGGCTAAATTTCATGGTCTTCACCTAAAACAGCACTTTGTTCTGCTCAAGTTCAGCGTTCAAGCTATTTCTCACAGGTACTCACCATCGAGCCGAAGCTGCCTATCGTCAAATCTTATCTGCCTGGTGTCATCTTTGATGTAGTTGATATCAGTATTGCCTAAATTGATGAACTGGAATGTAAACAGTCGCTTTTTGTGTCCCGTGAGTTGGCCTTTGCAAGTTTCTTCAGTGCACAATCCGTTTTCAGAGTCATTATCTCCTCCAACCGAATCTTCAGACTGACTGTTCTCATTCTCTGAAGGAAGCTCTTGGTCCTGACTGGACTCGTCGTCGGGTTCATCTGTCTCCATCTCACCTGGGTATTTAATAGAGATCTTTAAGTTAACCTGTACACCATTTCAAAAGTCTAAGTGTTGCTTTTCCATATCTACTCATGTGTTCTACTTTATTAAATCCACATCTTAACCGAGAACATGACAAAAAAGTCTTACTTGGTGAGCCTTCTTCATGTATGCCGTTTGGGCCGTTCCCATTAATATTCTGGTCCTCACAGCAACGCAGGGGCCCATCAGTTTCCTCGGTTTCAGTAGACATTTTGACATACCGGCTGCAGTAAAATCAGGTAATCAACAAGCTTGTAAAATTAAATTTCCATTTTACTTAATAAAACTGACAATTTTAATTCAAACTCTAGACCTAACACTCATATAGTAAAGCTGGCTAATAATTTATATTTGGGTTGTTTTTAAATATAAAAAATTAAGTATTTACTTCTAGGCTTTTCCCCCCTTATACTTCTAGGGTTTTGCTTTTTTTTTTTTTTTTTTTTGGGGGGGGGGCTTTTTTTTTTTTTTTTTTTTTTTTTCTTTTCAAGACAGGGGTTCTCTACATAGTTTTGGTGGCTGTCCTGGATCTTGCTCTGTAAACCAGGCTGGCCTCGAACTCAGAGATCCACCTGACTCTGCCTCCCCAGTGCTGGGATTAAAGACGTGTGCCACCACCGCCCGGCTAAGGTTTTGCTTTTTATTGTTGCTGTTTTGGAGACAGGGTCTCACTGTACATTTGCAGTTGACTTGGAACTCTCTATGTAGACCAACCTGGCTGGCATTGAACTAGCTCCCCTGTCTCTGCCTGTCTAGAATTAAAGGTATGTGCCACCACACCCGGCTATATGCTTTTTAATTGCGCGCACGTGTGTGTGTGTGTGTGTGTGTGTGTGTGTGTGTGTGTGTGTGTGTGTGTGGACACAGAGTCAATTACATGTTTGCACTTTATGTGTGTGTGCACGCACATCATTATGTGTGGCGACAGAGGCCAGAGGACAAACTTGTAGCAGCTGCTTCTCTCCTTCCACCTTGGGGTCTCCGGGATTGAATTCAGGTTGCTGGCCACGGTGGCAAGCATTCTTACCTACTGAATCATCTCATCATCTCTGGATTTTCCACGTTTTATATGTTAGAAGTACAGCACAGTGGATCATTTCTCAACTTAAAAGTAAGAATTTTATAAACGGTCCTCATTTACATGATGATATTATTGTTAGGAACACTCATAATTGTGTAATGTGATCTTTATACATGGACCATGAAATTATAATGATTCGGTATACAGAAAATATAAAGTATGTCAGCTGTAAAGGGTAAGAGAAAGGCCTTCAATGGTATCCACCATTACCTTATTTACTTCAAGGCTTATACAAAAAGCAAAGATTGTGTGGGGCACTATCTCACAAAAGCTGTCATGAATGCTTATCTTTTAAAGGAAATGAGTTCTTCATCTAGCCACACGCATAGAAAAGGACCATTTAACTTTCTATCTATCTATCTATCTATCTATCTATCTATCTATCTATCTATCTATCTATGGTTTTTCGAGACAGGGTTTTGTGGTGATATGTTTTGTACTGAAATGTTATTTTAATTTTATGTTAATAAATAAAGTTGCCCTGGGGTCAGAGCTATTAGAGCCATAGT